ATAAAAAAGAAAGAGAGAGTTTTATATATAGGGAGAGGGAGTAAAGTAGAGAGTGCATGAAAAACAAGCACAGTTTGAGGAAAAGAGGGAAAGAGTAAGCAATAAAGAGAGAGGAAATATAAAAGAAAAAGCATAAGAGAATGAATATCTCGACAGAGATAGGGGGAGTGAGAGATTTAAAGATAGATTAAGGAAATGAGGTGGAAAGATATCGCTTTCTTGCCTCGAAAAACGTTTAAGACCCTGCTAATAAAAGGAACAGCGTCAATACAAAGAAAAAATGTGGGCAGTTTAGTTATCTGATAAGGCATTCAGCGCGCCATTTTTCCTATCCCACACCCGAAAGCCATACAGACAAACTTCTTTGCATTTGAGCAACTCAAAGAGCAGTCTGCATAGAGTGAAACGCCTTTTATTCAAACTCAGGAAAAACGCTATGCCCCCCCCCCTCGCCTCTTCCCGCCACTGCGTAATTCGTACGTTATCATTATTTGCCATGATCAATCATTTTTTTTTAGATATTTTAGCTTTTTACATGCGAAATTAATTCTTGAATTCTTGGTATATTAGCAGATTATTACTTTTTATCTCACTGTATTAAATGCTACTTGGCAGAATCACAAATGATTTCACTCTGAATTCTCTGTTACTAAAGCCCAAAGTGAATTAACTAGTTTTATGCAGATACAAACTATAATAGAAGAAAAATTATTGATAGTAATTCAATAAATAACAAGAAGGTCGTTATAAAATCTTATCTGGGTCAGAAGGAGAATATTATAGCTTTCCATTGTCAGGTAATTATTATCAAGCTGGTCTCACTACCTAGTCATGACAAAATACATTGTCAGGGAATTATTATCAGCTTGGTCTCATTACCTACTCATCAGAGAATACATTATGAGGTAATTATTAACAACATGATTTCATTTCCTAGTCATGACAAAATACATTGTCAGGTAATTATTATCAACTTGATCTTATTACCTACTCATCATTGTCAGGTATTATTATCAACCTGATCTCATTAACTAGTCTTAAGAGAATACACTGTCAGATAATTATTAACAACCTAGTCTTATTACCTAGTCATGACAAAATACATTGTTAGTTAACTATTACCAACCTGGTCTCATTAACTAATCAAGCAAAAATGCAATTATTAACAAGCTGGTCTCATTACATAGTGTTCAGAAAATACATTGTCAGGTAATTATTATCAATCTGGTCTCATTACCTAGTCATGATAAAATATATTGTCAGTTATTTATTATCCACCTGGCTTTTACCTCTCATGATAAATACATTGTCAGGTAATCATTATTAACTTGGTATCATTACATAGTCATGACAGGTAATTATAATAAACCTGATCTCATAAATTAGTCATGGGAAAATGCATTGCTTTGGTAAACAAAATAGCATGGTTCAATGAACGACTTAAAACAGTGCTTAAAATATGAAAAAAGAAACATTGCGTGAAATTGTGTTTTGTGGCAACATTAGGCCACGTTTGTCGACAATCGAAGCAAACAAGTATTGTGTTACCAGTTAACATTTAAAAAAAGCCCCTATATTAAATGTTCATAACTTCTTGAACAAAGATTTACGAGAGTTTACTGTGTTCATGGAAGGTAATTGAAGTCGCCCATTGGCTTGCATGAGTGACATTTTAGATGGAGTGTGGTATACCATTGTATGGGTGACCTTAGATCAAGTACTCTGTTCTCTCACAGTAAATAGTACTAACATGTTATTTCATTTACTTCTAAAAATAAATATAAACAAAAACTTCAACTCATATAAAAGATATATATATATATATATATATATATATATATATATATATATATATATATATATATATATATATATTAAGCTTTTTTTTAGTTTTTCTTGTGTTCTTACAAGTATTTTCTTTTCTGGATACAAATTGTGTAGAAAACGGACCAAATGTTTTGAATATCTAAGCGCTTTCGGCTATTCTTTTAGCCATTATCAAGGAAGATTTTTATTTTTTATTTTTAAGTGAATGTATGATTTATTTATGTATGTACATGAAGTTATAAGCATGTTCATTTTTCCAAACACGGTCAACATGTTGTGGCCGTGTTCATAGTTAATGTTAAGATGTTGGTTTTTATTTCTTTTTTATTATTAATGCTTCCATTACTTTTTTAGTCTTTTTTACGTGTGGGTGAAGCTATTATGCTTGTATTTTCTACTAGGTTGTTGTGAATGGAGTTTGGTAGGTTTCCGAGTGTATTTAAATGAGTCCTAATTGAGTTATGTTCAGATAGATGTAATGGGAGTCGTCTAGATAGGCATGTAGTGTCATGATCAGTATAATTATTTGTGAGTTTGGTTTGATCAGGAAAATAGTTCCTTAAGGGGCATGTTATCTCGTAAATAATTTTGGACAGTTTTTACACACTGTGTCCTGAAAAGAAAACACTTGTACGAACACAAGCAAAATTGAATAAAAAGCTTAATCGCAGTACGTTGTCAGTCGTCTTTAAAGAAACTGATATATATATATATATATATATATATATATAAAATTATTTTTTAAAAAATATGATTCCTTCGCCTTTTTTTTTTAAATAATTATAATTTAAGCTCTACTTCTGTATGGAGCACTGTTTTTTTTTTTTAAATAAAAACAAAAATACTAAAGAACTCCAGATTATTTACCTAACGTGTTCTTTCCTATTTTCTTACATATCTGCACACACACACACACACACACACACACACACACACACACACACACACACACACACACACACACATATGAAGAAAAATATACGGAAAAACAAACAAAAATCCTTATATGCAATTATGGTGTTTTAATGTTAATATGTCGGATCTATATCCATACATTTGCTTACACACACACACACACACACACACACACACACACACACATATATATATATATATATATATATATATATATATATATATATATATATGAAAAAAATATACGGAAAAAACAAACAAAAATCCTTATATGCAATTATGGTATTTTAATGTTAATATATCGGATCTATATCCATACATTTGCTTTACACACACACACACACACACACACACACACACACACACACACATATATATATATATATATATATATATATATATATATATATATATATATATATATAAAAAAAATATACGGAAAAAACAAACAAAAATCCTTATATGCAATTATGGTGTTTTAATGTTAATATGTCGGATCTATATCCATACATTTGCTTACACACACACACACACACACACACACATATATATATATATATATATATATATATATATATATATATGAAAAAAAATATACAAAAAAAAAACAAACAAAAAATCCTTATATGCAATTATGGTGTTTTTAATGTTAATATGTCGGATCTATATCCATACATTTGCTTACACACACACACACACACACACACATATATATATATATATATATATATATATCCTTTCTCTTTTAGTAAATGTTGCTATTTCTCCTTTTGAAACCGTTTTTTTTTTTCGATTTAAAACCGTTTCTTTTCTGTTTTGAAACCGTTTCCGTTTCTACTTTTGAAACTGTTTCGTTTTCTTCTTCTGAAACTTAAACTGTTTCTTTTTCTCCCCTTGAAGCAGTGTCGTCTCGTTTCGAAACTGTTTCTTTTTCTCGTTTTGAATATGTTTCTTTTTCTCCATTTTCTTTTTCCATTTGAAACCGTTTCTTTTTCTCATTTGACACTGTTTCTTTTTTTATTAATATAAAAAAAATAAGTATATAAAATAATTAAAATAAAGATATATTCATAAAACAGAGAAACAATGATAAAAGAAAATAATACAAAAAAAAAAAAAAAACAAGACTTCGGATCTTTTAATACAGGTTTTTTTTTTTTTTATTTGTCGTTGAAATATCTCCCGTATTTGCTTAAAGATTTGTTCTGTGTTTGGCATTTAGATAGCATTAAAAGTCTTTACTTTTAACTAATTCAATTCAGAAAAATCACTTTTTATCGTATTATGACTGATTTAAAAAAAAAAAAGTGAGCAGGTTTAAAATAACAATTATGACGGTTAACATTTTTTAAATGCCATATTTGACGCTGTATAAGACGCACCCCAATTTCAGCGGGGCAAATCAAGAAAACATTAGTAATTAGTAAAATTATTATTAAATGGTACAGCCTAGGCTATATTTATGAGGTATCATTCTGGTTAAACAAGCTATGATTGCAATTAAACAAAAAATAATACGAAAAAAGAACACGAACCTAAAAAGAAAACTTTATTATATCCTTTATATGATCTGTACAACCTGCGTCTTGTAAACTTCTTATTGGAATAATTAAGATGTAAAAATTCTGATTGCATTTTTATTAATGCAACCGAAAGTTATCGCAAGAAAAACATTAATGAAACAAATATATTTTACAAATATATAATTTAAATTTATTGTATATAATTTTAGTAAAACAAAGTACTAATATTAAACGCGACGAAATTAATTTAATAAATATTATCAATGATAACACTTTTAATCTATATAAGAGCCTTTTAAATAATGACAATAGTTATATGAAAGTTGCTCTAAAGTCTAAGCTGATAGAAATTGACAGGGAGCTAATTTCGGCTGACTATCGCGAATTTTAAACCTACATATGGCATATAAGACGCAGGGGAATTTTAAAAGATATTTTTAGTAAAAAAAAAAAGTGCGCCTAATATGCCGTTAAATAAGGTAAATTTCATATTCTTGTCTTTACAACATTTCAGTTCCCTGGAAGACTGCAAAAGGTTCCTAGAACAGTTCTTTGCCGAGTTATCGATACAAATTCGACTAATTAGCCCATGTCTTGCGGGGAGAAGATGTGGATTCATTCACTTTCCCAAGAATATTTTCATGTAAGTGAATATAACGAATCCTGCTGTTATTGGAACTCGACTCCGATTTCCAATTACGAGCCGTTATCCATTACACCACCCGCACATCCAAGCTTACAGCAACTGCTATTCCCAAGCCTTCACCCATCTAGGTACTGAGCAGGGACAACATTGCTTAACTTCAGGGATCGTACGGGAACCGGTGTTTCAACTTGATTTGGCCGTAAGACTGAGCGTGAAGAATTAAAAAGGGTCAACAATTGGTCGTATTTTTCCTCTCTCTCTTTCTCCCTCTCTCTTTCCCTCTCATTTTCTGCTTATCCCTTTCTCTTTCCCTCTCTCTCTCTATCTCCATCTCTCTTTCCCTCTCATTTTCTCCTTATCCCTTTCTCTTTCCCTCTCTCTCTCTTTCTCTCTCTCTCTCTCTCATTCTTTCTCTCTCTTTCTCCTCTTCTTTTTCTATCTCTCCCTCTTTTTCTCATTATTTAAGCTCTGAGAGTGAGGAATAAAAATTAATGAACATTTTTCTTTTTTTTTCTCTCTCCTACTTTGCCTCTCTCCGTATTTCTCTCTATACATACACAAAGACACACAGACACACATATAAGATCTTTGGATCTTAGATTACACTGTTTTGATGCAACAAGTCTAGGAGAAGAACAATTTTAATTTCAAACCCAGCCTGAAAAGGGATGGGCTGTATCAGGTTATGTTGACCTAACCAGACCCTCTGCTGCTACGGGTTACGTACAGACCAGGCTTGACGTTGCTTAACTTTGGTGATCTTACGAGAACCGGTGTCTAAACATGATGTGGCCATAATCCATGTCACTCGCATATCCAAGATTACAACACCTGGCATTCCCAAGCGGTTACTCATCTAGGTACTGGCCAGGCTCGACATTGCTTAACGAGAAGAATCAACTGTAAGAAGCCAGAATGTGTGATTGTCGGCAAGAGGACTAGCCCCAAACATAAACTACAAATTGAAGACACCACAATCAAGCAAGTACGAAAATTTAAATATCTGATTAATGTTTTAACGGAAGACAGAAAAGGTGACAGTGAAATCCGAAGGCGTATTGGGATAGCGAATGATGCCTTCTAAAATATTGAGCAAAGTATTAACATACAAGAAAATGTCATTAGAAACAAAGAAAAGATTACTGAACTGCTATGTAATATCTAATCTCCTATATATCAGTGAATACTGGACAATCTGCTCACGAATTTCATAAACTAAGTATTAAGAGATAGGAAAATGTCGTTAGAAACAAAGAAAAGAGTGCTGAACTGCTATGTAATATCTAATCTCCTATATATCAGTGAATACTGGACAATCTGCTCACGAATTTCATAAACTAAGTATTAAGAGATAGGAAAATGCCTTTAGAAACAAAGAAAATAGCGCTTAACTAATATGTAATATCTAATCTCCTATATGGCAGTGAATGCTGGGCAATCTCCTCATGCCTTTCATAAACAAAGCAAAGTATTAAGAGATAGGAAAATGACGTCAGAAACAAAGAAACTATGTAATAAAAATCCACCTATATGACAAGGAATGCTCGGCAATCTTCCCATAAATGAAGAGGAGACCTGGGAGCAACGCAGATGTGGTTCTACAGAAGGATACTGAGAATTCCAGAGTAACGAGGGAATCTTAAAAAATGGAAACAAAAAAGACACTTATAATTAGAAACCCGAAAGAGACAGTTGAAATTTCTTGGGATCATAATGAGGAAAGTGGGCTTGGAGAATTTAACACTCACAGAACATCAAGTAACAAGTACGTGTACATGAATGGCAGAATATGGACTGGGAGAGGTAGTGAAAAAAACAAACCTTACTAAGAGCTAAAAAGGATAGGAAGTTGTGGAAAGCCTTGATAACCAGAATTTCAGATTTCAAGACGACAACGGAGTTGTTTTAATCTTAATTATCATTAAATTAAATTTGTACCATACTAAAATATCCGCTTTACTAAAAGCAAGAAATACGAGACAGACGGAAGAATGTCAATGCAACAAGGTTTCTTATTCTGCAAAATTGGCAAGGCAGCTAAGCCGAAGTTGCAGAGACTGTCTAAGAGTAATTTCCTAACACCAGTGAGAGGAAAAAGCTAATTTAGAAACCGCATGTTATCAGGCGGACTTCCTTAGCCTTCAAAGGGTTATTTTTTTTTTTACCACATGTGCATAATTTGCTTCATTAGGACCTGTGTCGGTTAAAAGCAGCTGTTTCTTTTCATCAGATACAGACACAAGACTTCATTTTGGTAGCAGACAAATACCGAAGTCTCAAAGAAAAAAATTAAAAAAAAAAATGTCTGCAGAAATGTTCGTCTGCTTTCTCAAGATTTATACCTAAATGTAAGCAATAGAATAAAAAAAAAAAGTTTAATATATATTAAATTATTCTTTTAATGCAAATTAAAGACGATATTTTTATACTAGCTTAACTACTATCGCGGATAGGAGAGATTCTTTATAAAGTAAAGATTTCGAGTGTTAATTTCAAAGGTAGGTAGACCCAGTAAAATTGGAAGACTAGCACATTACAATCCTCTTTTCCACGTTTTCTTCTGCACGGGTCTCACGCTAGGTTAATCTTAGGAAATTTGCCTGTCTGTGTCTTTTAAAAAATATTAAGCGTTTTTTGTTTTTTCGCGATTTTCCCGCCAATTCGGCGTTACCCTCCCTTATAATTTACTGAGCATTTTAATAAAATACAAATGCATTGTTTTAAGAGGTATTGAAAGTTTTGAATGGAATTTGTCTTCCGTTCAAAACGTAAAATAATCGATATTTTTTAAAACAATCCCTGTAAAATAATGCAAGTACCACTGATACGGCTATATACATATATATATATATATATATGTGTGTGTGTGTGTGTGTGTGTGTGTGTGTGAATTACACAACAAAATCCAAAATTAGCATATGAGGTAATTTTAGACTTTGTTGTGTAATTTATATGCTCTGTTATAATAAATACATTGAGCTCAATTTGCGGATAAATTTTAATATTTGATATTGCTGAGATCCACTTGGATTATATGCTAACGGATTTATTACCTGTACTATATATATATATATATATATATATATATATATATATATATATATATATATATATATATGTGTGTGTGTGCATATGTGTAATTTTACTACAACAAAATCCAAAATAAATAGCATCAATTTGCAGGATAAATTTTAATATTTGATTGCTGGATCCAATAACGGATTTATTACCTTTATATATATATATTTATATATATACATATATATATATAAATATGTGTGTGTGTGTGTGTGTGTGTGTTTTACAACAAAATCCAAAATTAGCATATCAATTTAGACTTTGTTGGGATAATAAATACATTAATCAATTTGATAAATTTTAATATTTGATATTGCTGAGATCCACTTGGATTATATGCTAACGATTTATTACCTGTACTATATATATATATATATATATATATATATATATATATATGTGTGTGTGTGTGTGTATGTGTGTGTGTGTGTAGAATTACACAACAAAATCCAAAATTAGCATATGAGGTAATTTTAGATTTTGTTTGTAATTTATATGCTCTGTTATAATAAATACATTGAGCTCAATTTGCGGATAAATTTTAATATTTGATATTGCTGAGATCCACTTGGATTATATGCTAACAGATTTATTACCTGTACTATATATATATATATATATATATATATATATATATATATATATATATATATATATATATATACACAAACATCTATTACCTTTACTATATAATTCATTTTAGGATATTACATTGAAAAACATGTTCATAATCGCTACACAATTGCAGTCAGGTTTCAATGCGTATCAACGCATTTCATCAGCGATTGTAAATTATTGGCGAGTGTACGATTTATTCAGATTTAAAACTAAAATACAGCCTCTTTCTGTATCTATTTTTTCTTTCTGTAACTATTCTGTATCGATTTTTTGACGGCTGTTAAAGTTAAATTTCTAATTCAGACATGAACTCAGTCTTACACCAGGGTTGAGTAAGACTAACGAAGTTTTCAGCGGTTGAAAATGATCTATCCCCCCAGATGAGTTAATTTTGGATTTCGTTGTGTAATACTGTTTATTTCTTCTGTTATAATACATACATTGAGCTCATTTTGTGGATCAATTTTAATATTTGATACTACTAGGATCCACTTGTAATACCAACGGATTTATTACCTGTACTATATATATATATATATATATATATATATATATATATATATAGTAATAAAAGCCTCACTCTCTGGCTGCATTTAACCTAGCTCCTGCCGTGGGCTCTTGAATTGGTCACAACATTTAAGTATTGCATCAATATTTAAGCTTACTTTTTAAAAGTTCAACGATAATTCGTTTGCCGCCACTTAATTTTAAGACAATTTGATGTTCGTAGGTCCTTGCATTCCGTACAAATAATTATTTTTATTTCAGGGCCGACGTTGGCTGGATTTCGCAAATAATTTCCATTATTCTCAAATTTATTTCCAAATTATAAAAATTGTTTTCGTATCAAAATAATTCGTAGCAAAAAAATCACGTAAAAAAAAATAAATTGACAAAAAAAATCGCAGTAATGAAAATTTGAGAATTCAAAATTTCAGGATTGCAGGTCCAGATCCGGCCCGGAATATTTTTAATATGCTCACGGTGTCGGCCTGATTCCAATATGTTATATGTTGGGCCTCTAAGAGTAAAAATGAAAAAGTGTGACACAGTGACTTTGACATTATATAGAAGGCCTTAAAGAATTCAGTGAAACTTTCATTTTGCATTCACAATATGTACTGCGCATATAAAATTATATATATATATATATATATATATATATATATATATATATATATATATATATATATACTAGCAGCATGGCCCAAGTGTTGCCCGTGCTTGATTCAAAAAATCATTACGACTCATGCAGCAATCGCTATCACTTGACTTAAAATATTTTGCCCTTCCTTGCCTTTTAAAGGAGTGCCCTTTGCCGTGCTGATGTTGCTACATTCCTTACTTCTTGCCTATTTCACACTGCGAATTTTTCTAAGCTCTATACTAAACATTAAATCTGTTACGAAAAAAGAACTAAACAAAATGAACACAAAACGATCAGCTTTAAAAAAGAACTCGTAACTGGAAAAACCGAATGAAAAAGAATGTTAACAACAAATACTTTTTCACACCCAACCCAGTTCTGCGGAATCAGAATCATTGTTGAGTTTAAGGAAGCGAATGAGCCAATTGGAGTAAAGTGCCATGCAGATTTAAATTTTTCCCACTTGTGACGAATGCAGCTATCGATTTTTTTGCATGCTAGCATGCTAGTTAATTTTGTTGCAAATCCATCGAAAATTGCGACCGTGCATTCGTTACGCTCACACACATCCTGCGTTTTATATATATATATATATATATATATATATATATATATTATGTGC